AGCAGGAATCTCGGATCTCACTGCCCAGGGTGATGTTGGGCAGAAGGACCGGGTCCGCGTTGATCTTATCCAACGTGTGGAACATGGCCTCCACCCTCTGGATGCCATACTGCTCCCTGATCTCCCCACACTTCCTCTCGGGGACCTTCTCAGCCGGAGGCTGGTGGTGGACTGAAAAGAGGGCCCCAATGATGACATCTCCGTCCATTCTGGCCACTGAGCGCTGAGACGAGGCTCCTGCCAGCAACAGTTTCCTGCCGGGGCCTCTGGGGAGAAGGGACATCTCCAAAAAGATAGCTGGGAAGAAAACCAAGAGGAGCCGGACCATTATGCTGAGGACGCCGTCCACAGCCGGCCAGCCGCGTTCCCACGCTGGTCCAGCCAGCAGGCTCTGCGCGCTCACAGTGCGGACCGACGCCTGACGCCTGCTTCTCCCCCCTCGCCAACGCCGCTTGTCCGACGACTTCAGCTTCTGCACCCCCGCCTCCTTCCCCTCCTCCTCCTCCTCCTGGTCCTCCACGACCACCTTTACGCCCTGGCGGCGTCTCTAGGGGTATTCGAGTCCCCCTTCTTCACTGGTGCATCCAGATAAACTGACCAATGGTACCATGGGAGTCGTGGTGGCTCGAGTGAGCTGGACGCTGCCGGCAAAACAGGAAGGAAGTCAAAGCTCCGTTATTACAGAGCCTGTGTCAAAACTCTGGGGTCAGTGCTGGTTAAGAGTTGACCGGTGCATTTCATGATATGGGCTGGAAGGACATCATGATAGCGGCTGGAGGGACAGCTTGGGCGGCAGCTCTGGTCTGGCGTTCGGCCCCCAGTACCCTCCTCCGTCCCGGGAGGCGCAGAGCCTCGCCGACCCGTCCCCTCCTGCAGCTCCAAGTCTCTTCCAGGTCCCCAAATACCCTCACGACTACTGACTGGAGGGGGAGGAGGGAAGAGGGAGAAAAAGGAGCTGCGTCTTTCGACCTTAGAGAACTTTCCGGATTTGAAAAGATCAACTTTTTTCCCCAGAAGAAATGTGGAAAAACTCTTTCATTATGAAGGCAGAAGCGCTACTTCAAAATAAACTCGAACCAGGGGTGCATATTTTACTTTAACTTTGAGGGGTTGAAGAGACCCTAACATACTACCCAAGTAGTAAATATAAATTTGCCAGCTTGAGGAAATCCATATTAGTTACTAAGGCAACGCCTGGAAAAGTCTCCGCATGTTGGATTTTGGTACATCCCCCCTCCCTCCCCCCACAAGAAGTCAGCTTATTGTAGACGTTTAGGGGGAAAGGGTACAGATGAGGTAACTTGTTTCCCGCAACCCAGGATGGAGGGAGGGAATGGAGGGACCCCTGCACTTCCCTAAATCCAGACCTTTGGCTTTGCATAGTTGCTAGAAAGGGAACAGAGGGGAGCTTCCTGGTTGCTCTGGCGGCGGCAGCTCAGTCCTGCCGCCTTCAGAACCCTGGACAGTGCTTGGTCAAGCGGCTGAGGCATTCCTCCGCAGGGCCGTTTGCGGACGCTTTGACCAGCGAGTTGCAATTCTTTAACCCCCAGCCCCCAAGCCCGCCAACCCACGACTTCACCAACCCCCCTCCCTGCGTTTTTCACACACACACACACACACACACACACACACACACACACACACACACACACACACCCCTCCTCGTTTCCCCAGTACCCCTCCATCCTCATTCTCTTCGCCTTGCAGCTACTGCTCCGCCAGGTATATTCAAACCCTACCACTTCGGGGGCAGAGGCGCCAAATCTCAGCCGCCTGCGGGGCTGAAGTTGGCTCTTTCTCTCGTCCCTCTCCGGCTCCCGTTTTCAAGGTGAGAGTCAGACGAGAAAGGAGCAAAGGGAGCGGGCGAGGAGCAAGAGCACAGGAGGTGAGGCAGGCAAAAGAAGAAAGGCAACCCAGGCACCCATGCGTCCCGATGCTTCCCGGGGAAGCCGGACTAACAGAAAGAAATAATCGAGGATGCCTCTGGGACAAGGAGAAAAAATCCCATAGATTGGGACCTTGTCTGCCACTGTGGGTAGGTTCCCCCGCCGGGAGGTGTCTGCTCACCTGGGTCTGCTTGGAGAATTTGGACTTGAGACGGACCTGAGTCCGGGTAGGCAGCGCTGTGGTCCCCGGGCCAGAGTACCGCGGCCAAGCTCGGTTCGCAGACGCCTCAGCTCTAATCCAGACGGTGCAGGGATGCGATCTAGGCTGTACACTAGTGCCCTCTTTCTTCAGCACTATTTTACCGCAAGGAAAAAAGAGGGAGGAGGAAGGGAAAAAAACAAACAAACAAAAAAACAGGTCATCCAAGGCTTGTCTATTATCTCATGCATAAAAATCAGTCGTTTAATGGAGGGGGGAGGGGATAAAATCTGGGGATAAGTGGAGAATATTAATTATTTTACTACTAGAGGGTTCTTAAAGAAGCTGCCAGCTATATGAATAGACAGATCGGGAGAAAGGAGTGGGGAATGGCTTAGGCTGCTTTACAGCGGATATTCCTTGTATGTATTTCAGGGACTCAAACACATTATATCTCCCTGGAAGTAAAACCCCTACTGAGGGAAATAGAATAAATGCATTTGAAGACATCTATACAGGCTCTACTGGTAGGTTGCAAGGGAAAGGGGGAAGAGGCTGCATGGGGTAGGAGGAGTGGAAGGAGAGGTAGGCACAACATGAATCAAGGGAAGCCAAATGAAGAGAGGCAAACCTTGGCTACATTTTCCAGGTCAAGATGTAACTAAATTGAGAATGAGAGTCAGGTCACATGAAAACACTGGAGTGAAAAACACTTATACAAATTCCTCTCAGACTGCCATCACCCTCCCGGACAGGTCTACAGTGTTGCTTCTTACAGTGTGAAAAGTGGAAGTTAAATCACATTCCTCTGGGAACATGTTGGCTGAGCAGAATGTGTCCCAGCTTCTTCAGAGGAGAAAGATAAGTGACAGTGTGCCTTTCCACTCCTGCTCAAAGCTTTCTATTTGTGCCATGTGCAGAGAACAGAGATCAGCATATTTGGGTCCCTTTATAATCACCTTGGAGGGGACAAACTGCATGAGGCAGTTTTAAAAAACTTTTTAGCATGTTCCATGAAACAGGACAGGAAATGCCTCCAGTCAGGAACAGAAGCTCTTTCTTGTTCTGACTCTGGTCTTTTTTCCAAGTGTCAGATTTTTCTGGATTTTTCTTAAGTAATCTAAAGAGTATAGGAATTTTTTTTCTTTTTCAGCAAATAATGCATGGAACCAGGTACATATCCTTTAGGCCTAAAAGATCTCAGTTTTGGAAGTAACTATATGTTTACTCAAGGAAAATAAGAGCTAAGTTTCTGTCTCACACATAGGGTAAAACAGTTCTCTGCTTGTACCCTTAGGAAGATGTCAACTTTAAGAGCAAGCCACAGGTGTTCACGGTGTCCCACAGTATCTCATTTCATCTATTAGCCATTTAAACTCCATTTTAGATAACTCTATTCTAGTAAGTTAAGCCCTAAACATGATTTTCCTGGAATATTTCATAGATACAATGAATGTACAAAGATTTCAGTGCATATATAAACCATCAAATATGATTTGCAGGATTAGAGAAAGCAATGTCTCTGAAGTTCACATTTAGCTCTAATATATGCTTCTCAAAGAAATATTTTTAATATACCACATTGACATAGGTTAGAAAAGATTCTGCTACTGAAGGAATAATTAAATATTCAGACTTATTTGTTCTCAATACAGTCCAAGTAAAACCTACACATTCAGGTTGGCTGAAACAAAACATTTTAAGGAGAACAACTTGTGATCATAACATAGAGAATTTATGCATATACATGAACTATATATGATAGATGTTAAGGAAATTTTTAACTTCAACTGCGTCAATTTGAAATTATCATTTAAATGTATTGATAATTATTTAAGACCAAACTTTAGAAGGCACAAAAACAAAAATCAGTCAAGAAGGCACAAGAAATTAAAAGACAAGATGATCCAAATATGCTTCGTATCCAAATATGCTTAATTTCTGGAAATTAAGACTTTACCAAGGAAAACATGATGTAACACATGTGGAGACATGTTAGAGAAGGTTCTATTAGTAGAGCTGAAGAGAATGACTAAAAGAATGAATTACATACAAATTAACAAATACAGGTCAATAGCTACTCTATTACAGAATGTTAAAGTGTATGAATCCAGAAGTACTATCAGTATGAATATTTATTCAGTGCTGGTAGGGTACTATCTTACATTCAGTATGTGATCTGAAGTAGGGCAAAAAGTGTTAGGAGTAATTTGGTTTGGGAAATCTGTTTAATAAAAAAATATACTGGAGATCGAGCAGAAGACTATCAAACATACTATCTCAAGACAATGATTTAAATGCGTTGCTATAACAATAAGGACAACAAAATGCTCATTAGCCTTATATGGTAATAAAACAGATATTGCCCATAAACAAAACTGTGATCACTTTCTTTAGGAATGTGTGCACAATTCTCATTGCTCTCCATCATAAAGAACATCGTAGAGGAGCTGGTCTAGATAACAAATGAACAAAAGGTTGTACAGTTTTCCACATGAAATCAGTTAAAAATTCAGACTCTTCAAATGAGAAAAGTAAGAGGTGAGCAAGAACAAGGCTTAAAGAAAGAAAGACAGAGAAGAGAAGGGATAAGCCAGGCACATATTCCAAATTTAAGGGGATGCTAATGGGTATTTTGAAAACTAAAGTTTACACAGTCATTGGAATATGGAAGTGAAGTACACACAAGAAGTAATAAATTCACTACTGAAAAGGTGGCACTGACTGAAAATAGAAATAGGATTAAAGAAGGTCTTTGTAGAAAACTGATTTGTTGATTATTGATATGTAATGTATTACTAAGGGAATATAATGGATGTTCAAGGTAGATCTGCATTGTGGGAGCGAATATCATGCTTCTCTATAAAATATCATGCTCTGTGACTGACTTAATCTAGTGTGACATTTCTTACATTCTTATATTTAATTCATGGGTTCAGCAAGATAATTTAAGCCCCAGTGAGAATTTTCAGTTTATTTATCCAATTTGGCTACCTACATTGCTTAACTCAAGAGGGAAATTGCCTGTCTTCATTGACTTCATGCTCTGATCAAAAACAATACAAACTGTAAAATAAAACCTCTTCCTTTCAGAAATTCAAAACATTTTTATAAAACATGGTTGATTTAAAAAGTAAACAAAATATTTTAAAAGAACTAAAATAAGCCAAATTTATTACATATATTCAATTGTTTCATTAACCTGATAAATTAGGCTATGACCATTTATGCAGAGATAGAACC